TCCTATGACAGGAAGGTTATTATCTGGAAGGAAGAAAATGGCACTTGGGAAAAGACCTATGAGTACACGGGACATGATTCTTCAGGTATGGAGGGCTGGAGTGTGGAGCTGGGAAGGGAAACTGAGGAGGTGAGGGGATTTGGGTAAGACTGAATAAATCTATTAGTGTTGAGGAAGAAAGCCTCTGTCAAAAAGAAAACTATAAAAACTGAAGAGAGAGTAAATGTGTTCAGCATTAACAGGACATTTCCCTAAGACTGTATTGCTGGATAAGCCACTACTGATTCATACCATGTGTCTGTAGGTGTTGTTATACAAATAAGTCAGCTTTGAAATAAAGATGGCAGGAAATTGAATTCTTGAAGAAAATACTGTCTGTTTCCAGTTAGAAAGACTGCATTTTATCATGCTGTATTTTGTTTTAAAATTGAAACTGTTGTGTTCAGATGATTTACCCTCCCAATGCAGATCTGTTACTCAGTAAACAATGCTAATTGGCTGGCTTTTGCTGAGATTTGACTCATTCTCAGCTTGCAAAGCCCCTTGCTTTTGGTGACGGTGCCACTGATAGCAGTCAGTGCATCGGTCAGTCAGTTTTAGGTAGGCCCTGTGCTGTAATCTGGTCTGTCTCACCCTTCCCAGTGAATTCTGTCTGCTGGGCACCCCACGACTATGGACTGATCCTGGCCTGTGGCAGCTCTGACGGGGCCATTTCCTTGTTGAGCTACACGGGCGATGGGCAGTGGGAAGTCAAAAAGATCAGCAACGCACACACGGTGAGTCTGGTCCTTTGGAGCAGCCCAGAGTTCCCAGAGCTGCAGGTAACACCAAGGTGATCCCTCAGAGACTTGAGTGGATAAATACTGAAATGCAATGAAATTATGTGAAACATCCAGACCCAAGAATAGTTTCAGTTCATCCAGAGTAGGCAGGTATACTTTTTAGTCACTAAAATGAAATTATGAAGTTCACTAAACAGCACTGGTAATCCCTGTTTATTGGGCATTATTGTTAAACACAATGCTGAAAGTTACCTGATAAGAAATGGCCTTGGTACTAAGAATACCTGCAACAGCTAGAAAAAACTGTGGGACTCCTTTTTTTCCCAAAATTGTGGAGATTTTTGTTTCAACAGAACATAATAAGCTAATGGCAGTGGCCCCCAGTAGAAAGAAATTCAGCTTTGGACCAAAGGTTCCTTCTATTCCTGTATTCCTAAATCTTAGCAACTGTGTGTCCCTTTTGTCTTTGTGGTTTCTGTCTCTGTCTCCCCTATCTGCACATCCAGGATGAACTATTTTGTGTGCAAATACCCTTATAGCTACCTCAGGCTTTCTGAGTAAGTGCCTTAGTGAGGCTACTCTGCATCTGGATTTCTTATTCATCCAATATTCATCCAGCATGCAAGAGTTCACTTTTTCTGAGATGGGTTTATTCACCATGCTCACATGTTCTTCACCCCCTCAGCAGCCTCTATCTATTTATTTAGTTAATTAAAGTAATCAACTTTTAACAGTGATGCTTTTCCTTAACTAGATTGGATGTAATGCAGTTAGCTGGGCTCCCGCTGTTGTACCAGGAAGCCTTATAGAACAACCCTCTGGTCAAAAGCCGAACTACATCAAAAGATTTGCATCTGGTGGCTGTGACAACCTGGTCAAGATCTGGAAGTAAGTGCCCTGTCGCCAGATGAAACCTGACACTTCAGGCTTTGAGTGTCCCTGTTAGTATCTCAAGTAATATCTTTGGCTTCCCTATTGTATCATCTTCAAATTACTGTTTTAGAGAAGTGTTTTAAAAATGGAAACTTAGTGATGCACAATATCTCCCATGGTTCTTGCAGTTTGTGCCAGCCCTGTGTGATCTTGTCTCCAAGGGTAGCTTTGTGATGGTCTTTGGTTACCACTTTGATTGTAGCAGATTTTTGACAGTAACTGGAGGTCAGAGCCTCTTTCCCTGTGCTGCTTTCTGTCCCTGGAAGGGATTTTGTCAGATTTTTGGAGAAGTAGGGAACACTTGTGCTTTGTATTGCATTGATGAACAAGGAGTTTGAATGCTACAATCCAAAGCCTTCCCGAGCAGGGCATGAGGTGATGGAGGATGCTGCCGCTGCCCTGGTGACGGTGCAGTTGTGTTTTCAGGGAAGAAGAGGGTCAGTGGAAAGAAGAGCAGAAGCTGGAGGCTCACAGTGACTGGGTACGAGACGTGGCCTGGGCCCCATCCATAGGGCTGCCAACCAGCACCATTGCTAGCTGCTCACAGGTGAGCTTCCTTCGCAGCGACAGGGGCAAGCACTGGCTGTGCTCTCTTCCACGAGCTTCCTTCCCCGTTTCTGCAGTGAAGGAGTTGTAGGGATAGAGCTGCTCTAACGCGTCGTCTTGGCCATCCTTTGCTATATTTGGGTCTCTGCATACAAGCCTTTGACTCCTGTTCTTCCCAATCTCAGAAGCCCAATAGAAGCATTTCTGGAGAAAGGTTTATGGGTGTGTGTGCCTCTGTACCAAAGACTGGCTTCTGGTTGGAAAATCATGAGCAGGATGATCTCACTGCCAGGAAGACCTTCCAACTAATGTCGTATTTAGTGTTTTTGGATCAAATTTACTGAACTTCCTTCTAAAAATACTGTTTTCTAATAATTGGCATTCTTAATCAACTCTGATGTCATCAGCCTTTATATTGATTGTTGTCTTCTTGTTGCTAATCTGTGAAAGCTCTTTTTTTAACATCAGGAAGACTGCTTAGTGAGCTCCTGCCATGTGAGCGGAAAACAAAATCTCATTCTGGGGAAGTATTTCAGCTGATAATATATATTTTGGGGGCTCTTCTCTGGTATTTGTTGGTAGTTTTTCTCATCAGAGCTGTACTCCTGCCTTGCCTTTATCCATAGCGAGGAGACAGCCCTTTGCTGTGCTGAGCACAAATCCGTGCAGATACATCAAGGGTGGTGTGCGAGCTGTGATTTGGAAATGTAGCTCCAGGGGCAATTCAGGGTTGTGTTTCTTGTGCCCAGCCTTGGTCTCTGTGCTTTTGCAGGATGGCCGAGTGTTTATCTGGACGTGTGATGATGCCTCTGGGAACTCCTGGTCACCAAAGCTGCTGCACAAGTTCAATGATGTTGTCTGGCACGTGAGCTGGTCCATCACTGCCAACATCCTCGCAGTGTCTGGAGGAGACAACAAAGTGAGTACTGCTGCCTTGGCTTGTGCCCTGTGCAGCCTGTTTCCAGAGGAGCTGAGGTGAGACTGTTGTCACGCGTTTAACGCAAGGCTGTGTCTCCTTTGCTGCCATGGGGACGTTTTTTCTTCTGATTAATCAGGAGGGCAGGAAAACCATAACCTTTGGAAACCACTTGCACTGCACTGTGAGACCTTACTTGAGGGTAGAAATGCAGGCTGAACTTGATTTTGTGTGGTACTGACAATTCACATACTCTCCTCATATAACTGCAGGCTATCACCAAACCCATGGTAGCTACAAGGAAAGGGGAGACAGGATGTGTTTAAAGCTGAAAGCTGTTGGTGCTCTGTTTTTGAGGTGACGCTGTGGAAGGAGTCGGTGGACGGGCTGTGGGCGTGTATCAGCGACGTGAACAAGGGCCAGGGAGGGGTGTCTGCTGTGACAGAAGGGCAGCAGAACGAGCAGTGATGCACCATGGAATACTCCAGCTGCAACGAGTCAGCACTGTCCCTGATTTGCAGTGTGTCTTTAGCTGGATGGGAACTGATTTTATCTAAACTGGACATGAACATGGGAAACAATTATCCAATTTGATGAGCACTCTGTTACTGGGAGGCTACAATATGTTGATAATCAGCCTTAATTGACATTCCCTTAAATTTAAGATAAACAGTATAGCCAAGTACTGTGCCTGATACTACTCCTTGATACTGTAGGAATTGTTCCCTGCTTTTCTGGTTTAGGGGTCAAATTTGAATGGCTGTGCTGGGGTCAGAGTTCACACACTTCAACAGAACAGGGGGAAGCTGTCAAAACAACAAGGTGTGATACTCCTTGATGCAGGGGACAAGTATTCTGTGTCCTCAAAGACCAGAACTTTGTTTCAAGAGAGGAAATGGGCTGGAGTTCTCGGGTTAGCTGGTAGTGTGCTAGCTAGCCCTGCTGGTAACAGTGACGTTGTTGTACTTGTGTCTTTCTGAAAATAACGTGCTTGGTGAAAGTCTCTTTGCTTTCTTGAAGATGAAAAGGAGTAGTGGAATGCATATGTCTTCTGCTATATAATAATCTCAAACTGGGTTATTTAACCAACATCAATAAATCAAACCATGGTTTGAAGATTTATTTTTTTTAGTCACACTTCTGTACTGTATCTCAGTTGTTTGGATTTTTTTTGTTGAGAAAACCAACAGAATAAAATCTTATTGGTTAAAACCTGGTGTGCTGTATTAAATAATCTTTTCACAGGACTGCCTTTTCAAGGCAATCTGCAATGTGTCATCAGCCAGGCCACAGTCACATCTTCCCATCCATGTAATTAGCTTTGCAAGAGTTTGGCTTTTTTGGTGGGGCTTTTTTCCTGTAATGGTACATCACGAGACAAGGCTTTACAAAGCCATCGCTCTTCCTTTGGTCTTGGCAATTCCCAGGGAGAACATAAGCAGCGCCAGCTTCCCTTTTCTGCTCTTACAACTTTACTCGTCATGAGGGAAGAGAGAAGGACATGAACCCATTTGCACACCTTGAAGTTATTTTTAAAACCAACGTTAGCCGGTGGAAAAGCGGAGCCCCGGGTTTGTGACAGTTCTGCCCGGCCCGCTCGCACTGCAGGAACCTTGGTAATTAATTTTACAGTGAAATTCTTCTCTAGAGCCATCAGAAAGGAAAAAAATCAGCTTTTTGACACTGAATGAAGACTGAATAAACATGTTCGTACTAATAATTGCTACAGAGAGCAAAGTGACCTTGAGCTTCTTTTGCCCAAATAGGGTGGAATGAGATATATTTTCTGTGCCATAAATAATAAAAAAGCAGGCTAGAAAGAGGAATTTTTCAGGTTTTTTATTCAAAAAGCTATTAGTAAATGGTAATGCATAAACTCTTGTGAACTGCCAAGTTACATAACAGTGTTAAGGTAAGACCACACAGTGTCTTATATGTGCCATACTGAATACTTAGGTCATCTGTAAGACTACCCAAATCACCTCAGAATGTTTTAAAACTATCAGGGTACAAGACAAAGAATAACAATTCCATCTGGTGACTACAGGAGAACAAAACCTCTAAAGCACTTCCCTGAAACAGAACTATGCACAAACTACATTTCTCAGTTTAAACTCTCGGGTTTGCCATTTCTGGAGCATAGCCATGTGCATTCCTTTCTGGAGAAGACACAAGCATTTTACCACGGGTCTCCCAGAATATACCAGTGAAAAACAATGAATATTACATTTTCAGTGCCATAAAGTATCTTGAAAAATCTGTAGAATTAAGTAGTTATTGACCAGTCTGAGTATACAATGTTTCTTATGTCAGTACTAATCTTATCTTGGTTTGATTCTGGTAAAATAAAAAAACACATGTAAATATAAAGACAGTAGCCAAGGCACTTATAATTAAGGAATTTTACCAGTTTTTAGTGTAGAGAATAACTTGAGAAATGTGTAGATAACTCCAGTACTCAGGTCTTTAGCTAAAATACTTCCTCATAATAATACATACAATGAACTAGGTACTCTACAAAAATAGAAGGGGTGCAGCCTTTATATAAAGCTAGGAATATATACTAGTACACTATTCCACTGAAAATAATTACATAGAATTAATTTTATTTTTGTTCCCTAAACTGCACTGTGACTTGCAGCCCTTTCTGCACATCAGGCCCTGTTCCCCATGCTCAGGAGGCAGCTCACCTGTCTGTAGACAGAGCTTCTTTTGGTCCCTCATAAACTTGTTTTTCCCTAGACTGCACACAAGTGGAATATGCTAGCAATAATAAAAATAATAAATATCATAAAAACAAAAGTGATGCTTTCTTAAGGGGGCTTTCACTTGATCATAAATACACCAGCATACAAGTCTCTATTTTTTCTTTTGCATGTGATCCCTGGGCCTGAGAGTGAGGCTCCAACTAAGGGACACCCACAAGGATTCCTCTGAGAATGCCTGGTGAGTGTGGAACCATCAACAAGTCCTCTTATTAGCTTATATTTGACCCATTGCCAAAATAAATACAACAAATTATGTTTCAAGTGCCCTATAAAAATCAAAGCTATTTTAAATTAAAATCTTTTCCCTAATCTAAAATATACAACAGTTACCATGTGAAACACAATGAGAAACATTTCCATGTAAAGGACACTTAGAAAAAAATAATTCCCAAAAATACTCCTATGAAGTATTAAACATGGTCTCAGAGCTCCCAACAGGGAACCGAAAGGTTGGACTTCAGTGGTGTCACGTGTATGTGGAGGGAAGCTCAGCTCAGAGAGTGGAGGAAAGTGGCTGAAGTTAATTACCTACACGTGTGGTCAGTGCAGTTCACACTGAGGTGAAGCTGTACAACATTCTGAGAACTTGCACAGAAACCCCTCTCAGGTCATGCAGTGGTTCTGGGTGTGTGGACTAAGACTGTACGGAACAGAGAGAGGTTTGCCACTGGCAAAGCTGCCAGCTCTGAGGATTCCTGTCTGGGCAAAGAGCTCAGGGCACGGCTGCCTGCCACTGCTCAGCGTTGCTCTGCAGCTCCTGGGACTGCGGCTTAAGGACACCGACAGACGCTTCCTGAAACAACTGCAAATCAATCACAAATTATTATGGCACTTGCGTTTGCCATTCCTTTTCACATTGCAGATGGAAAGTGGGACTGTGCTTTAATCTGCTATAGAACAGTTATTTTCTGGTGCTTCTCTATGTGGTACTTCTTGTTTCCTTCAGTCAGGGCCAGTGTTGCTGAGCGAAACCTGCTACCTAATCTTACGTGAAAGGTGCACTTTTACCGTCCTTCTAATGAGGACACATTCTGAGCTTCTTCTGAGCTGGCCACTGCTAATTAATCCATCCAATTTATGATTCAAAAAGTTCAGAACTGTTTAACTTGTCCTCTTCATACAGCAAAATATTTTCCATGAGCTTCTTTTTTTGATCATTTATCTGTATTTTCCAAGATGTCTCTCTGGCTGAAGCTGAAAAACAAAAAAGCCCAAATACTGAGGGAAAAAAATCCATGTATTGTCTAAGGAATAGATGATAATTTTAAATTTAAGAAAAAGCAAGCAACCAACCAGCCAAAACTGGCTTAGGGAAAAATCTGAGAGAAGACTGCTAAATGTTTTGTAGATTTATTAGCAAATTCATAACCAAGGAGAAAAGATTTACTGATATGTGTTTAAAAGTAGGAAGTGGAACCTAAGCAGCTCTGGAGGAAGGAGCAATTAGTCCCTATACTGTCAGAGGAGGGCACTTTTACCTTGTGGAGCACACAAGGAGTCCGGGGCTGTGTCTCCCTGCACACAGGGGCCCTGTGCAGCAGCTGCTGTCTGCAGGGCGCCATCGCCTCTGGCGCTCGCCAGCCTTCTCTCCTGCAGTCCCTGGGCAGGCTTCCCCTGCCTGGCCCTGTCACCACAGCCCGACCCTTCTTCTGGGCTGGCGCACCTGTGGCCAGCTGACTCCTCGGAGGGTTTTTCTGGGGGATTCCACATGAAGCTGCTGGACTCGTCTGACTCGCAGGGCACCCG